CTGATGCCTGCCAGATGCCTGTTTTTAAAAAGGGATATCATTTGAATGGAACACTGGAGAAAAATAAGACTTAGCCTTTGTATACCTAAGATTGAAAGGCATTATGAATGGAAGAAACAACATGAATATGAACGTACTTTGACAACTAATAATTTAATGTGATTGAAGCTTTGGAATGTGTGGAAATTAATTTGGAACGATCAAGTTCAGATCCTAAAGAATCTTGAAATGTAGATACTTAGAGTAAGTGGAGGCCAGTCATGTTTTTTGAGCAAAGATCGTGCTTCAGGGTAACATGGAGACCAAATAAGGAGATCAGTTGGATGTTGCAGTAATAGGAAGAAAATGAAACAAAATGACAGACAAAAAGAAAAAAAATAACGTTGAAACCAGCAAGTGGCATGGTGGTTAAGGCGCTAGACTCCCACATGCCCCACTCTGGTTCAAGTCCCAGACCTGGCAGCTTGCTTTCTCATTTTCCCTCTCTCTCTCTTGCCATCTCTCTGGTCAAACTAAAATAATAACAATACCAAATTAAATAAATAATTCTTTTTAAAAAAGAATGTTGAAATGAATTATAAGGATAGAATGAGCAGGTATGCAAATTATGAACGTATGCTAGGTAAACATCAAAGGGATAGTAATTTTGGTGACTGAAAGGATCCCATCTGGATATCGGTCCAGGTTAACAGACCTGGAACACAGATGAATGGGTTTCTGAGGGAAGATGAGTTTTTAGTATTTTCATATGTCAGAGTATCATCCATGCAAAAATGATTTTCAGAGACTTGAATCTTTGACATACTTCCTAGGCTTCTATGTCACTATTGTCTTGACCATCTTATCTCTCTGAATGTTCCTCACAAGCATCTCTTTATCTGCCTGCCTTTAAATGGTAATACTCTGAGAAACCTCCTATCCTCTCATTCTTCTCTAGAGCTTCCCAACCAAGTTACAAAGCACAGCAGCTCGCCGAGCTTGTGTTCACCCGAGCTCTCACAGCAGTGTATCGAAGAGCCTTCCTGTTTATTGAGGGGTGCCGTGCTGCACTCATTTTCTACTGTCATTGACCAGGAAAAGCTTGGACAGCAGCACTCTGTACACTCTTCCTGGGTATTCTCCTGGGCATGTGTGACTTCTAGTCTCTCTCTCTTTTATTTTTTAAGAGAGGTTTTTTGCTCTATTTTTTGCTCATTCACTCATCAGAGAGACAAAGACAGAGACAGAAAGTGAGAAATCACCCCCCCTGGGCGGGGGGGATGACCATGCTTCAATTGCTTCTCCTCCATTTTCTTCTCAGGATTTTGAGCATGCACACACACACGCCCAGCATGAGTTTTAAGTCGTGGGGTGCAGGACATGAACTGTGGTTGACTGCACAGGAATCCAGTGATGTAACCATTGTGCCATTGGCCGTTCCCTAGTCACATTTTTCATACTCAAATATTTCCAGGCCCCAGGCATGTGTATAAAACTCTTCCACATATCTTTTACAAAGGCAATTCAAACACACCAAGTAGGAACTGGAATCTTTTTCAATCCTCAGATATTCAATTTTTCCCTTTATTTCTTAGCTTAATGTCAGCAAATTGGGGGGCATTTTAGAATTTACTTCACTTTCCATATATATTCTTTCTCCTTCCTAAATAATATCTGACTCTAAACAAAGAAGGAATGTACTTCTGTATTTTCAGCTTTACTCATTGTTTTCCTATTTTTTAAGGACTTTTTTCTTTGTTGCCAAATGTCCTGTTTACTTGCCTGAGAGAGAGAAAGCACTCCCCAGTGGGGTGTGGTCATGCTGCAATCCTTTTTCCTCCATTTCTCCATCCTGTCAGGATTTTGGCCATGTACACACATCTAACACATCTAGTGGGTGTTTTTGTTGTTGTTCTCATTCTTGCTTTGTTTTGTTTTGTTTTGCCAGAGGGCACATGCATGTCTCAGAGCGAGAGAGACACAGATAAGGGAAGTGAAATGTCATCCGAGCAGGGGTGGCCATGCTACAGTCCCTTCTCTTCTTGGGATTTTGGGCACACACACCTGCCCAGAGTGTTTTTCAGGCCACCGGGTCTAAGACTAGAACCGCAGAGTTAGCTGTGTGGGATCCAGCACCTTAACCACCACTCCTTTGCTAGTCCAACACACATAGACTGTTTTTTAAGCCAACATGGACTTGGATTCAAACCATGGCTACTTATGTGGGATCCGGCTCCCCATTCATGGATTTTTCCCTTTATTTCTTAGCTTAATGTCAGCAAATTGGGGGGCATTTTAGAATTTACTTCACTTTCCATATATATTCTTTCTCCTTCCTAAATAATATCTGACTCTAAACAAAGAAGGAATGTACTTCTGTATTTTCAGCTTTACTCATTGTTTTCCTATTTTTTAAGGACTTTTTTCTTTGTTGCCAAATGTCCTGTTTACTTGCCTGAGAGAGAGAAAGCACTCCCCAGTGGGGTGTGGTCATGCTGCAATCCTTTTTCCTCCATTTCTCCATCCTGTCAGGATTTTGGCCATGTACACACATCTAACACATCTAGTGGGTGTTTTTGTTGTTGTTCTCATTCTTGCTTTGTTTTGTTTTGTTTTGCCAGAGGGCACATGCATGTCTCAGAGCGAGAGAGACACAGATAAGGGAAGTGAAATGTCATCCGAGCAGGGGTGGCCATGCTACAGTCCCTTCTCTTCTTGGGATTTTGGGCACACACACCTGCCCAGAGTGTTTTTCAGGCCACCGGGTCTAAGACTAGAACCGCAGAGTTAGCTGTGTGGGATCCAGCACCTTAACCACCACTCCTTTGCTAGTCCAACACACATAGACTGTTTTTTAAGCCAACATGGACTTGGATTCAAACCATGGCTACTTATGTGGGATCCGGCTCCCCATTCATGGTGTGTAACTGCAGAGCTATGGGACTGGCCCTCTATTCTTTGTTAAACTGAGAAAATATAGATACGTTGAGCCATGTAGGGACATACAGGTTTGAAATTTATTCTTTCACTCATGCACCTTTGACAGTATTTCGTCTCATCCTTCTGTGTTCATGCCTCATCTTCTGATATTCTTTGCTGTCTTCTTTTAGCTTCAGCTTCAATCAGTGTAATTTAGCCAGAATCAGTCAAGTGATTGATGAGCAGTAGAAGCTTAATGTAAGTTCGTATTAAATGGCCAGGATTTTGTGAGCTTGAGTCACTTAACAAAGACAGGAATTCAGTTTTGATTTATCTCCTCTGTCTTTTAGACGTTCGTTAGGAAGCATAGATAAAGACTAGAGAAATTAGAAACAGAAATGACACATTTTTATGTGTCATATATTCTTGGTTACAAAGGTCAGAAAACACAGTTCCAAGTGATTTTAAAAATCACAGATAAAAGGCCCATTAGCAATGGTACACACCATAGAGATGCTGTGCCCCGTGGACTGGCGCCATGTGGGAGGCCTGGATTTGATTCCTGTGCCACCCAAAGGCTGAGTGCAATGACATATACCTGTAATCCCAGTCTCTCAGGAGGCTGTGGCAGGAAGGTTGTGACAGAGAAAAACTCTGTCTAAAAAGGAGTCTTGTGGGACCAACAGGTGGCATAATGATTATGTTGCTAGACTCTCACATGGTTGACCATGGTTTGAGTCCCAGACCCCGAGGCTTAAAACTCACACTGGTGCATCCATGCCAAAATCCCAAGAGGAGAATGGAGAAGAAGGGACTGTGGTGAGGCCATCTTCCCTGGAGGATGATTTCTCATTTTCTGTCTCTCTGGCAAGTGCATGTGCCACATAGCAAAAATCTCTCTTAAAAAAACAAAGAATCTTGTTGACATAAAGGAATCTTGTTGACATGCATAAACAGTAATTTAAAAATAGGTCAGTCTTTTAGGCCTCGTATGATAGGGCTCAAACTTTATTTTCTGTAGTTATCTTCACCCATAATAATAAATGAAATATGTTTTGAAAACTTAAGAAATAACAAGGTTGACCCAGCCCTGTAATGCAGTGGGTTAAGCCCTGATCATGGAAAGCCAAATCCCACATGGCTGACCACAGTGTGAATCCCAGCCCCAGAGGCTTTAAAAATATGCCAGGTGCATGTGCACGTGTGCCCCAAATCCTGACCGGGTGGAGAAATAGTGGGGACAAGGACTGTGGCTTGACCGTGCTCCATTGGGAGAGTGGGGTGCTTTCTCTCTCTTCAGTGTGCCTTCTGGCAGCCATTTTCCCTTTGATTTGCTAAAGGACACATGCACTCACCCAAGAGAGACAGAGTAAGAAAAGGAAAATGAGGAAGCACCCATAGACATGGCCGCACTGTAGTCTCTTCTTTAGAGATTTTGGGCATGCATGCCACACTCTGGGTCCAGGACTCAAACCAAGCAGCTGGCTGCACAGGACCCAGTTGCCTCAACCACCACACTACTGGCTGGCCCAAGAGAGTCAAACTTCCTGCATTTCTTACCCCTGTTCCCTCACTAGCTACTGTAGCTATTATGGGTGCCTGTTTTAGTTCCTTTACTCTATGTTTCATTTGTTCTCAAGTTGATCACCCAGGCAGCATTGTCCCTGGAAGCCTTGCACCGACTTTGGCCTGCTCTTCCTAAGCGAGTTACTGGAGGGGGATCAGCCTTACCATGATACTTATTTACTCTTAAGACTGCCCTCTGGAACCCATGATCAGTTTACAAATAGAAAGCTGCTATAGCATGAGGGCAGATAAAACAGATTTTGATGAGTAAGCCACAGTGTTAACTCTACTTCATACGCTGATGAAAACACACTTAAACCCAATAACAAAAAGGAAACAAGCGAGAACTCTTAAGGAAAATGTTCATTTTACAATGTAACAGGTCCCCAACTAAGTATACCCAAAGTTAAGATACATAAAAAAAGTAGGCACTTGGTTTTCATGGTATCTGACCTAAAAATAGATTATATTCTGGATAAGTCAGGTGAAATATTTTTATTATACTGTTCTAAAAGTGTGTACATGTATGCACCTAGGTAACTCTGAACAGCTCTTGAATGGCCTTACTATGATGCATCCGTCTGGTGATAATGACACTATTGTGTTAGGATCTGAATGTCAAGCTCCTGTGCAGAAGGTAAAAGTAATGTTATTTTTTCATCATAATCTTGATGGGATTTAAAATTGAGTGTGGAGGTGGGACAAGAAATACCATAAGCCCTAACTTGCCTGAGAGTTTGGATCTCTCAGCCAAATTTTCGCCTATGTAAAACAAACCAAAAAATCCAAATCCTGTGAGCAGCGTTCTTTCCCCACCCCACTCGTGGGTGCTTTGCTATTGATAAGTATGGATAAGGACCATTTAAAAAGTGCTTTCTCTAACAACCAATTTTAATGTCTTATTTTATTATTTTTAGTTTTACTTAACAAAGTGTCATCTCTCTCCTTTAGGATAAAAAGAGTAGTGCTACAGAATTTCTTTAATTAAACATTTGGCTCACCATGTACTATAATAGTTATGCTTGCAGTTTAATGAAATTTTGTAATTTTGACTGGCCCAAAACAAAGTTCAAAATAATAACTTTTTCAAGGGCAAAGAGATTACAGTAAAAATAAGCAGACAAACATCAAGCATACAAGACGTCTTCAAAAGTTCATAGAGGCCCCAGCTGCACTGGTGGTAGTGTGCTGATCTGCGGTGCTGAAGGCCACATGACCAACTGACCAACTGTGGGTCTGCAATGCAAGTCAGCTTGAAACACCCCAGGCATGTGCTCCCAAGATCCTGATGAGTGGAGGACTGGGGGAAAAGGGACTGCGGCATGACTAAATCTTGTCAGGGTGCCTCTGTCTCTTTCTATTTCCCATGAAAGAAAGAAAATAAAAATAGTTTATATACGGGACCAGAGGTTAGCGTAATGGCTATGTCGCTGGACTCCCATGTAGTCGACCGTGGTTCGAGTCCCGGAGCCGGTGGCTTAAACTCACACCAGGCACATGTGAGTGCATGCCCATGCCCAAGATCCTGAGAGGAGAATGGAGGAGAAGGGATTATGGTGTGGCCATTCCCCCAGGGGGTGATTTCTTACTTCCTGTCCCTCTGTCTGTCTCTGTCTTTCTAGCAAGTGCACATGCCCTATAGCAAAACCTCTTAAAAAAAAAGTTCATATATGGACCAGCAGATGGCATAATGGTTACATTGCTGAACTCCCATTAATCTACTACAGTTCAAGTCTTGGACCTGGTGATTTAAAAACTCACCCCAGGCACATGTGTTTGCACGCCTAAAATCCTGATGAGAAGGTAAAAAGGAGGAAAAAGGATTGGGTCATGAGCATGCCCTAATGGAGGGTGCTTTCAGTAGCATGCACAGCTGATATATGAACACTTATCTAACTTTAGGCGTAAACCTCAGTGAGTAAAGTGAACATATTATAAAGTAGAACCTCGCTGGGGCTATATAGCTTACTGCAGTCATTAAAATAGGTATTAATAGGTATTTTTAAATGCATTTTTTAATTTCAAGAAAAACAGTTTTAGTTTTAATAGATCAAAGTCAAGAAATGTTAAGAGAAATTTGCTTAAGACTTAAAGCCAGGAGAAAAGTTAGGATTCATTTTAAAAAGTAGGTAGATGAAGCTATCAACAGTTCAAGGAAGCTTCCCCTTTGAGCGGCGGTGGCCGTAATAACAGCAGTAGTAACAACTCCGGGGGCCGTTATCTTCACCCATAATAATAAATGAAATATGTTTTGAAAACTTAAGAAATAACAAGGTTGACCCAGCCCTGTAATGCAGTGGGTTAAGCCCTGATCATGGAAAGCCAAATCCCACATGGCTGACCACAGTGTGAATCCCAGCCCCAGAGGCTTTAAAAATATGCCAGGTGCATGTGCACGTGTGCCCCAAATCCTGACCGGGTGGAGAAATAGTGGGGACAAGGACTGTGGCTTGACCGTGCTCCATTGGGAGAGTGGGGTGCTTTCTCTCTCTTCAGTGTGCCTTCTGGCAGCCATTTTCCCTTTGATTTGCTAAAGGACACATGCACTCACCCAAGAGAGACAGAGTAAGAAAAGGAAAATGAGGAAGCACCCATAGACATGGCCGCACTGTAGTCTCTTCTTTAGAGATTTTGGGCATGCATGCCACACTCTGGGTCCAGGACTCAAACCAAGCAGCTGGCTGCACAGGACCCAGTTGCCTCAACCACCACACTACTGGCTGGCCCAAGAGAGTCAAACTTCCTGCATTTCTTACCCCTGTTCCCTCACTAGCTACTGTAGCTATTATGGGTGCCTGTTTTAGTTCCTTTACTCTATGTTTCATTTGTTCTCAAGTTGATCACCCAGGCAGCATTGTCCCTGGAAGCCTTGCACCGACTTTGGCCTGCTCTTCCTAAGCGAGTTACTGGAGGGGGATCAGCCTTACCATGATACTTATTTACTCTTAAGACTGCCCTCTGGAACCCATGATCAGTTTACAAATAGAAAGCTGCTATAGCATGAGGGCAGATAAAACAGATTTTGATGAGTAAGCCACAGTGTTAACTCTACTTCATACGCTGATGAAAACACATTTAAACCCAATAACAAAAAGGAAACAAGCGAGAACTCTTAAGGAAAATGTTCATTTTACAATGTAACAGGTCCCCAACTAAGTATACCCAAAGTTAAGATACATAAAAAAAGTAGGCACTTGGTTTTCATGGTATCTGACCTAAAAATAGATTATATTCTGGATAAGTCAGGTGAAATATTTTTATTATACTGTTCTAAAAGTGTGTACATGTATGCACCTAGGTAACTCTGAACAGCTCTTGAATGGCCTTACTATGATGCATCCGTCTGGTGATAATGACACTATTGTGTTAGGATCTGAATGTCAAGCTCCTGTGCAGAAGGTAAAAGTAATGTTATTTTTTCATCATAATCTTGATGGGATTTAAAATTGAGTGTGGAGGTGGGACAAGAAATACCATAAGCCCTAACTTGCCTGAGAGTTTGGATCTCTCAGCCAAATTTTCGCCTATGTAAAACAAACCAAAAAATCCAAATCCTGTGAGCAGCGTTCTTTCCCCACCCCACTCGTGGGTGCTTTGCTATTGATAAGTATGGATAAGGACCATTTAAAAAGTGCTTTCTCTAACAACCAATTTTAATGTCTTATTTTATTATTTTTAGTTTTACTTAACAAAGTGTCATCTCTCTCCTTTAGGATAAAAAGAGTAGTGCTACAGAATTTCTTTAATTAAACATTTGGCTCACCATGTACTATAATAGTTATGCTTGCAGTTTAATGAAATTTTGTAATTTTGACTGGCCCAAAACAAAGTTCAAAATAATAACTTTTTCAAGGGCAAAGAGATTACAGTAAAAATAAGCAGACAAACATCAAGCATACAAGACGTCTTCAAAAGTTCATAGAGGCCCCAGCTGCACTGGTGGTAGTGTGCTGATCTGCGGTGCTGAAGGCCACATGACCAACTGACCAACTGTGGGTCTGCAATGCAAGTCAGCTTGAAACACCCCAGGCATGTGCTCCCAAGATCCTGATGAGTGGAGGACTGGGGGAAAAGGGACTGCGGCATGACTAAATCTTGTCAGGGTGCCTCTGTCTCTTTCTATTTCCCATGAAAGAAAGAAAATAAAAATAGTTTATATACGGGACCAGAGGTTAGCGTAATGGCTATGTCGCTGGACTCCCATGTAGTCGACCGTGGTTCGAGTCCCGGAGCCGGTGGCTTAAACTCACACCAGGCACATGTGAGTGCATGCCCATGCCCAAGATCCTGAGAGGAGAATGGAGGAGAAGGGATTATGGTGTGGCCATTCCCCCAGGGGGTGATTTCTTACTTCCTGTCCCTCTGTCTGTCTCTGTCTTTCTAGCAAGTGCACATGCCCTATAGCAAAACCTCTTAAAAAAAAAGTTCATATATGGACCAGCAGATGGCATAATGGTTACATTGCTGAACTCCCATTAATCTACTACAGTTCAAGTCTTGGACCTGGTGATTTAAAAACTCACCCCAGGCACATGTGTTTGCACGCCTAAAATCCTGATGAGAAGGTAAAAAGGAGGAAAAAGGATTGGGTCATGAGCATGCCCTAATGGAGGGTGCTTTCAGTAGCATGCACAGCTGATATATGAACACTTATCTAACTTTAGGCGTAAACCTCAGTGAGTAAAGTGAACATATTATAAAGTAGAACCTCGCTGGGGCTATATAGCTTACTGCAGTCATTAAAATAGGTATTAATAGGTATTTTTAAATGCATTTTTTAATTTCAAGAAAAACAGTTTTAGTTTTAATAGATCAAAGTCAAGAAATGTTAAGAGAAATTTGCTTAAGACTTAAAGCCAGGAGAAAAGTTAGGATTCATTTTAAAAAGTAGGTAGATGAAGCTATCAACAGTTCAAGGAAGCTTCCCCTTTGAGCGGCGGTGGCCGTAATAACAGCAGTAGTAACAACTCCGGGGGCCAGTGACTCTTAGGGATGGCGGCCGCTGCAGCAGGACCTGCACCAGCCCAGAGGTTTTTCCAGAGCTTCTCAGATGCTCTGATGGAAGCGGACCCCCAGGCGGCGTTAGAGGAGCTGACTAAGGCTTTGGAACAGAAATCAGGTGATGTGCAATATTATTGTCAAAGAGCTTGTTATCACATTCTTCTTGGGAATTACCGTGATGCTATTGCCCATGCAAAGAAGTCTCTTGAACTCACTCCAAATAATTCCACTGTTATGCTGAGAAAAGGGATATGTGAATACCATGAAAAAAACTATGCTGCTGCTCTAGAAACTTTTAAAGAAGGACAGAAATTAGTGTAGATGCAGATTTCGTTGTCTGGATTAAGAGGTGTCAAGATGCTCAGAATGGATCAGAATCTGAGGTGAATCATTCTGCATCCCAGCAGACTTACCAGTCAAAACTCAAGTATGACTGGTATCAAACAGAATCCCAAGTAATCATTACACTTATGATCAAGAACGTTCAGAAGAATGATGTGAATGTGGAATTTTCAGAAAAAGAGTTGTCTGCTTCGGTCGACCTTCCTTCTGGAGAAGATTACAATTTGAAATTGAGACTTCTTTATCCTATAATACCAGTACAGAGCATATTTAAAGTGCTTTCAACAAAGATTGAAGTTAAAATGAAAAAAACAGAGGCTGTGAGATGAGAAAAACTAGAAGGGCAAGGAGATGTGCCTAAGCTTAAACAGCTCATCGCAGATGGAAAGAACCTATATCCATCATCTTCTCACTATACAAGAAATTGGGATAAATTGGTTGATGAGATCAAAGAAGAAGAAAAGAATGAAAAGTTGGAGGGAGATGTAGCTTTAAACAGATTATTTTAGCAGATCTATTCAGATGGTTCTGACGAAGTGAAGCGTGCCATGAACAAATCATTTATGGAGTCTAGTGGTACAGTTTTGAGTACCAATTGGTCTGATGTAGGTAAATGGAAAGTTGAAATCAATCCTCCTGATGATATGAAATGGAAAAAATATTGAATAAATTAATTTTCTATAAAAAAAAAAACAGTTTGCGGGAACCAGCAATTAGCGTAATGGTTATGTCACTGGACTCCCACGTAGTTGACCACGGTTCGCGTCCCGGACCCGGTGGCTTAAAACTCACGCCGGGCACGTGTGCGTGGGTGCCCAAGATCCCGAGAGGAGAATGGAAGAGAAAGGATTGCGGTGTGACCATCCCCCCTGGGCGGTGATTTCTCGCTTTCTGTCTCTTTATCTCTCTCTGTCTGGCGAGCGCACATGCCCTATAGCGAAAACCTCTCCAAAAAAAACAGTTCAAGAGAAGACAAAAATCCTTAAATCTAGAAAACAAAGCATAGAAGAAAATCAGTAATGTTTCAGTCAAAAGTCATAAAATTCTATTTCACAAATTCAATCTCATGTAATTAATCTCTCTTTTGTTGAATTTGCAGTCACTGTGGTCTGATGTTTCCATTTAAACTCTGGAAATTAACATTCAACTCTGGACGTGTCCCTACCATTAGGCTGGCCATTCTCTTGGTTGTTTCTTGTACTCTTGTCTAGATCTGGGTGCTTCAGTGGTCCTAATCCCTGAAAGGGGCCACTCAGAACTCAGACATAGAGGATGGTGATTCGCTTGTCCTGGCTCCTGGCTAGATCTGGGGGCTTCAGTTGTCCTCAAGATTGAACAGTTGTTTTCAGCAGAGGTTGTTTAGGTTTGCATCATAATCTTTTCCCTACTAGAGATAGGCAGGTTGCCTTAGAGCCATCTGGATCTGCGGTGTCCAACATGATCCCTAGTCACATAAGGCTACTGAGTCTTTGAAAAGTGTTTAGAACAAATGAGGTACTAAGTCATAAATGTTACTTTAAAATCAGTTTAAAATTTAAAACTGACATGATTCAGTTATTGGAAAGCTTAAGTATGTTTAGAACAGGTTGGTTAATGAAAATACTTTTTATCCATAAATTTTATGAAATATAATTACAGATCAACTGTTTCTGAATGTGGCTACTAGAAAATGTTAAATTACATGTTTCAACTAGACAGCATTGATCTCCACCTTGGCATATCTTTTTTAAGAACAGTACTCACTCCATTAGTTTTTTCTTCTTAGCACAAAAAAGAAAAAGCTATGCCAGAGAGTTTTCAATAAACCTTTCTTTTTCCCCCCAAAAGATATGTGCATTCACCACAGACAGAAAGAGGCAGAAAGAGAAAATACCCTTTAATGGGGTGTGATCACATTGTAATTTCCTTTCCATTCTCATCCTGTTGGGATTTGGGATGCACATGTACCCTGCATTGTTTTTCAAGCTGCCAGGGCCAGGATTTGAACTACATAATTAGCCATGTGAGACCCAGCTTCATTGACTACTGGGCCACGGGACCAGCCCCAATACTGTGCTGTTCTTAAGGCATAATCCTACTTTCTCTCTTATTAATCATTTGTATATTTTCTTTATTTTCCCTAGAGGATCATAAGTGTCTTATTTATAATGAGTGGTTTATCAATATTTTTACACTCCCTACAAATTATAACACAGTTAAAATATATGTCTTAAATTAAGTTGAAATAATCTGTGAGGATGCTACTTCAATTTGGTTTCAGGTTAATAATTGAGTTTAGGTCATTGTTATGTTATTTTTCTAACTTGAGTTAACATTTAGCTTTCTTTGGAATCTTTGGAATCTTTATGTGGTCTACTACTGTATTAAAGATACTATCTTTCTTCTAAAATCTGATTGACATTTGTAGACTTAGACTGAATCAAATGTTTGTTTTAGGATATAAAGATTAAAAATGCTGAATCTTGGAAAAGTTTAGGCAAACCAGTGAAAACATCGGGGGTAATGAAATCCTCAGATGAGCTCTTCAACCAGTTTAGAAAAGCAGCAATAGAAAAGGAGGTAAAAGCTCGAACACAGGAACTAATGAGGAAACATCCGGAAACAAATACAAAGGAACCAAAAACATCTCAAGAAAATCAGAGGTCTGTAACTTACTGTAATAAAGGCCATGGGACATAGAGAAGTATATTTAAATAAATTTTCTTATTTGTCAAGTGACTATATGATTCAGCTATTTAGTAAAACACAAAGTAAATTGTGATTACAAAAAGTACATTTTTAATATTTTTCTAAGAAGTAATATAATCTATTTGAACACTGAAATAAATTAGACACTAATATTAAGTTATAAATATATTCACAAAATGTATTTTTTAAATTCTATATACAAGAAGAGAATGGTCACAGTTTTCTAAAACCTTTGCTGTTGGGAACAAGCAGTTAGCGTAATGGCTATGTCGCTGGACTCCCACATAGTCGACCGCGGTTCACGTTCCAGACCTAGTGGCTTAAAACCCACACCAGGCGCGTGTGCGTGTGTGCCCAAGATCCCGAGAGGAGGATGGAGGAGAAGGGATTGCAGCGTGGCCATCCCCTCGGGGGGGGTGATTTCTCGCTTTCTGTCTCTCAGTCTCTCTCTCTCCGTCTGTCTGGCGAGCGCCCTATAGTGAAAAGCCTCTCAAAAAAAAAAAAAAAAGAAAAGAAAAAGAAAAAGAAAAAACTTTGCTGTTAATATAGATAACTTTTTTATTTTTTTTTTGAGAGGTTTTTGCTATAGGGCATGTGCGCTCGCCAGAATGAAAGAGAGAGACAGAGAGACAGAAAGCAAGAAATCACCCTCTAGAGGGGTATGGTTATGCCGCAATCCCTCCTCCTCCATTCTCCTTTCGGGATTTTGGGCACGCACTCACACGTGCCCGGCGTGAGTTTAAGCCACCGAGTCTGGGACTCGAACCATGGTCAGCTACATGGGAGTTCAGCAGCACAGCCATTATACTAACTGCTGGTCCCAATATAGATAACCTTTTGTAAAACTTTGCACATTAAAAGAAAAACTTAGAAATGTCATAATATGTGAAAGTAAGTATCTGCCTATCACATACCTTTATATTTGTCATTTAATAATGCACCTTTGTAATAAAAACTTTTAAGGGACTTGAAACCTACTTTGTGCTATACTGTTTCTTAAGGGACCTTGGAAATGGATTGGTTCTAGAATCTTTTACAAATAAAACACAAAACAAGTGCCAAGGAGAAGAGCAGAAAGAGCACCAGCAGTCATTGGAAGCTCAGGATCAGTGCAAACTCTGGCTTCTCAAAGGCCGTAATTTGGCAAAGGAGAAAGAGCAGGAGCGGAGGAGAAGAGAAGCAGTAAGTGGATTTTTTTCCCCCCTGAAGAGCCTGTGAGCTCACAACAGAAAGTGAGAGAAAAAGAAAAAAATTCATTTCCAATGAGACATGATCACATCAAAGTGCCTTCTCCATTTCTCCACTCGGTTGGAATTCGGGCATGCTTGCACACGCACATGGTGTGTTTTTCAAGCTGCTGGGTCCAGGGTTCTAACTGCTTGGTTGGTCATGTGGGATCCAGCTCCCTTAACCACTAAGCTATAGGGCTGACCCAAGTAAGTAGATTTTAGTTCACTAAATCTAACAAAGGAAAGATCTAACAGAGCACTGTCTTTTATATTTTCAAAGATATGTGCAGGGTGGTTTGACAAAATGCACATACACATGTCTGAGTATTCTCAGGCCAACCATAGTATACGAACCTGTGGTCAGTCATGTGGCCTCCAGCATTACAATCCAGTACTCTACAGACTGGGCCAACTAGGCTTGATTCTGTATTTTGTCTCTTGTATAGCTCATTTCTTTTTAGTGCTGAACAAGATTGTATATATGTACCACAGTTAAGTCATCCATTCACCTATTAAGGAACATCTTGGTTGCCTCTAAGTAATGACAATTGTGAATAAAACTTCTATAATCATTTGTGTACAGGTTTTTATGTAGATTTATTTTCAATTCATCTTAATTTTTTAAATTGCCAAAGGTCATGTGCACAGGTCAGATTGAGAGAGAGAGAGAGAAAGAGAAAGCTCCCTCAGTAGAATGCAGTCATGCCACAATCCTTTTGCCTCCATTTCTCTATCCTATCAGAATTTGAGGCACTCATGCATATGGGCCTGAGCTGTTTTTCAAGCTGCCAGAGCCAAGGTTCACACTATGGTCAGCCATGTGGGATTTGACTCCCTACATACTATGCTTAATTGTGCTGTGGGACCAGCCCTCATTTTTTGAAAGACATTTTTGGTGGAGATATAATCCTAGATAGTAAAACTTTTTCTTGCAGTGTAGTGCTTTAAAGATACTCTATGGGTCAGCCCTGTACTGCAGAGATTAAGTGCTATACAGAGGAGATCAGATTCCACATGGTTGACCAAGGTTTGAGTCCTGGTCCTGGTGGCTTAAAAAACATGCTACAAGCATGTGTGTGCATCCCCCAAATCCCAACAAGATGGAGAAATGGAGGAAAAGGAATTGTGGCATAAGCATACTCCATGGGGTGGTGCTTTCTCCCTCTTTCTCTGTTTCTCCGTCTGTCTCTCTGGCAGGCATATATGCCAGCTGGTGATTAAAAACAAAACACCAAGTATGCACACATGTGCCCAGAATCCTGATGGAGTGGAGATTTGGAGAAAGAAAGGATCACAGTATTACCAGCTCCCTCAGGGATGGTGCTATGCTGTCTCTCTCTCTCCTCTAATATATGTGCATACTTGCTTTCTGTAAGTATTATATTAAATTAATGAAAATAAATTAATATATTAAAAATATTTTCTTCACTGTGCCCTTGCAATATTTCCAGTGAGAAGTCTGATATTTTCACATTTGTTTCTCAGTCTTAGCCAATCTGGATCACAGGTATGCACGTGTGCATGCCAGGCATGCTCAGGGAGGTCCTGCAACACGAACACAGGACCTTTTCCCATGTGTGGCCAGTTATATTACCACTGCTTTTCCACCTGGCCCTCCTCTTGTTGCTTTAAAATTTTTATTTATCACTGTATTTCAACTTTTTTTCTTCATGTTTCTTGTGCTTTGCATGCACACCCTCTATTATAAATAATTTTTTTGAAAAAAGAAATGTTCTTTGTCTGCAAAGTCAAACAGAGTAACAACCAGCCACATATGGCCATGCAGTACTTGAAATGTGGCTAATGCAACTAAGGAACTAAAATTTAAACTTTAATTGTAATTAATTTAAATCTATACTTTTTAAAATAATTATTTTACTTTATTTACTTATTTTTTAATTTGATCAGAGAGGGACAGAGAGAAAGAGAAAGAGTGAGAAAGCAAGCTTCCAGGACCAGGACTTGAACTGTGGTTGGCCATGTGGGAGTCCAGTGCCCCTAGCTACCACACCACCTGCTGGCCCCTAAATTTATACTTTTTAAATATTGTATACTTCTTTATTGTTTTTAGGACTCTTCAGTAAAATTGTATTAATACTTGACCATTGGTCCAGATGATGGCGCAGCAGTGAGGCTGACCCATCTGGGAAGGTTCTGGGTTTGCATCCGGAGACATCTCTGAGTACACTGGGCATGCACATGCTTGTCTTCTGGGACTGGCTAATGCTGGGCATTAGGAAAGTAGCCTGGATTAGGATTTAAGAAGTGTGCTTTTGGGCCAGCATGGTAGCCAAGCTGTACTGTGCTACTCAAGTAATGCTGGATCTACATGGAAAATCATGGGTTCAATTTCCTGGTTGACCTGAAACACACCAAGTGTATGTGCCCATAGTGCTGGCTGGATGGGAAAACATGGCAAGAGACCCTGTTGGGATTGCTTTTATGTCTGTCTGTCTCTACCTGTCTCTGTTTCTCTGTCAGTCTTTCATTATCATAAAAGAAATAAGGAAAGGGGCTGGCAGGTGGAATTGTGGTAAATCAGTGGGTTCTTACATGGCCAACTGCAGTTCAGGTCCCAGACCTGGTGGCTTGCTTTCTCTCTCTGGTCAAATTTAAATAGTAATACTGATAATAAATAAATTAAATTAAATAATTATTTTTAAAAGAAATAAGGCAAAAAAGTATCTTTTGTCTTTAAGAAAAATTGTAAGAATTATTTTGTAGTTTATGAGAGTCAGACATACCTTTTTAATATCCTTTTGGTAAGTCATAATTACAAATCTTTTCCACATAGCCAGTGAGAATGCCTGTCTCATCCTGGAAGCCAACCAACTGGTTGCAAATTGGTTCTTTCACCTACAGCCCTGGTCTGTGGCTATTTATTGATTTTAAAAAATTCTTTAAAGACTTACTGTTGAGAAAAGTGAGCCAGATTTTGAAAGATGCACATTGTGTATTCCCACTCAATTTGTACTGAGGGTCTTGGGGTGGGGGAAACAGATTAGTATTGGTTACTATTGCTCAGGAGTTTACAATCTATTTCTGTTGCTTCAGGTTACAGTATTTTTTTTAGAACAAGACCTGAACTATCAATAAATTATTTTCAGATTGGAAAAAAAAGAAAAAACAGATTAATAGGATTGGTGATAGCTAGAGGGTAGGTAGGGTTTTCTTTCTTGAGGTGATAAAAAGCTTCTAAAATCAATGATGGTGATAACTACACATACCTATTACTGTACTGAAAACTATTGAATTGTACCCTTTATTTTTTTAAAGAAATCTTTGTTATAGAACACAAACATTTGCCAGAGAGACAAAAAGAAACAGAAAGACAGAAAGCAAGGTGTCACCTCCCCACACCTTTTCCTCCATTCTCCTCTCGGATTTTGGACATGCATGCACACGCACCTGGCATGAGTTTTAAGCTGCTGGGTCCAGGAATCAAACCATGGTCAGCTACATAGAAGTCCAGCAATGTAACAGTTACACCATCTGCTGATCCCAAATTGTACACTTTAAATATGAATTGTATGGTATGAAAACTATATCTTAAGAAGGGCTTTTAAAAATGTTTTAAAAAAAGAAAAAATTTTCTGGATCATTGCATGGATTTCCATATTTTCTTTATAATTCAAAAGTAATTGTATTTTTTGTTTTTGTTTTTGTTTTTTGTTTTTTAAGAGGTTTTTGGTAGGGTGCGTGCACTCGCCAGACAGACAGAGACAGACAGACAGAAAGCGAGAAATCACCCCCCAGGGGGGATGGCCATGCCATGATCCCTTCTCCCCCATTCTCCTCTCAGGATCTTGGGCAAGCACACGCACCCAGCGTGAGTTTAATCTACTGGGTCTGGGACTTGAACCACAGTCGGTTACATGGGAGTTCAGCAACATACCCATTATGCTAACTGCTGGTCCCAGTAATTTTATTCTTAAAAATTATAACTGTTCTACACTTCTCTGTTACATCAATTTGTTCCCCACAGACTATGCTGAGAACAGGCTTGGGGAAGAAAATAAATCTTTTTGGCTTGACTATAATCAGTAGCTAATAAAAGTAGAAAAATCCAGATCTCTATGGTTTGGGATAGAATAACCCTTTTGTAGGACCTAATTAAATTAACATACACACATTCTTTGAACTTTAATATTTGATGTCTTTTTTGGATGGCAATGGTTATCTAACCTATGAAGCAAAGGCATTTAGAAGAAGCTTTAATATATAGTAAACATTTATTTTCTTAGCCATTTCTATTTCAGCTTATTGTAATAACCTTTTAGCATTTAATAAAGCATTGTGCAGAGTGTGGTATATGTAGTCTGATTTGATCATCATAAATACTCATACAGGAGGACACTTGGTTAAATAATTTATCTTAGGTTACACAGTAAGTGGCAGAATGATGAAAAGCCCAAAGCCTTAACATAAAGCTTTATGCATTATAGTTTTCTGACATAGCAAAGATATTAGTTCATTCAGAAAATATTTTTTGTTTGTCTAGCACTATGTTGGTGACAAAAATAAATAAAACTGTTCTCAGTTCATCTTCTTACCTAATACCCACGCTGTCAATACTAAGGCCTCTCTTACTTGGAGAAAAAGGTCAGACTTATTATTAATATCCGTGTAGGTTTTAATTTTTTATGTTGCTTAGGCAAAATATTAACAAAAATGGGTAGTATTTGATCAGAAATACAAAATTATATAAAAATGCATTTGCATTTTATATGCTTTATTCCTAGGTCTTGTCTAATTATTTTTATATAATGCTAACAAAGACATTTTAAAGTAACATTGAAGTTTTCTTCTCTTTTCTACAGATGGCTGGTACCATTGATATGACTCTTCAGAGTGACATTATGACAATGTTTGAAAACAACTTTGATTAAAACTCAGTTTTTAGATTAACTGTCAACTTAAAATGAATCATATACAAGATTAAAATGCATATAGTAAAATGATTGCTTTCAGTCACCAAGACACCAATCTTCTATTGTATTTTGACTGCACTAAAATGATTAAACAATCTTCACTTGTGTTTTAATAGCTATATGTGCATTTTTTAAATGACATAGTTTACAGAAATTTATAATTTTTGGATCCCTAAAAATGGAAGAAATTTCCAGATTTTACTCATTCTATAAATATTTGCCCATTATGAATTATAGGCCCTGCACTAAGCAATGAAAATCCAAAAGATACAGTCCTTATTTGTTTAAAAATGAAAAATGCCATAAAAGTATTAAAAGCAGTTCCTGTTGAGTTCTTCACTTTTACAACAAATGTTTGTCTGCCTTCAAAAATATTTAGAACTTACAACAAATAACAGTTGGTTTCCTTGAGTGTCTGGTTACCTAAGATTCTATAATCCAAATTATTGGTTCTATAATAAAAATTTTTATGACATTTAGTTTAAGGAAATGTTACCTGTGGTTTTAAATATGTTGAATATGAGGCAAAACAGTAAATATTAATTATGTATGTAAGTTTCTGTAGAAACTTATGGGATATTTCTTAATGTGTATATATAAGAGCAATGCATATTTAAATAGTTAACTATATTCTTTTTATTTAAATATTTTGTAAAATATTTTTGTTCTGTTATTTTGAAGTTTAGTTATGTATAAATCATGTGTATCAGCTTTAAAGTATTTTAGATTTTTAAACTATTGATGTATGACATGATTAAGGCAATACTCTGATACCATTTTAAGAAAAATTCAAAGTGTGTGTGTGTTATAAAGAGGAAATGTTTTTTGACTTCACTTATTTTTATAATTAATATGATAACTTTGAAATATCTTTAAGCTGTTAGCCATTTAAAAACATGATTAACCCATGACTAAAATGGTAGTGTTACCTTTATGAAACAGCCAGGATTAAAGTGATAGTTATTCCTATTCAGTTAAATCTGTTCTTTTATTTGTTTGTTTGTTTGTTTGTTTGGAGAGGTTTTTACTATAGGGCACATGACAGAAAGCGAGAAATCACCCCCTGGGGAGATGGCCATGCCGCAGTCCCTTCTCCATTCTCCTCTTGGGATCTTGGGCACGCACACACACGCACATGGCATGAGTTTAAGCCACCGGGACAGGAACTTGAACCACGGTCGACTACATGGGAGTTCAGCAACATAGCCATTACACTAACTGCTGGTTCCATCTTTTTTAAAATTTTTTTAAGAGAGATTTTTGCTATAGGGTGCTTATGTTTGCCGGCAAGGCAGTCAGACAGAGAGCAAGAAATCACCCCCCAGGGGGACGGTCACACCACAATCCTTTCTCTCAGGATCTCAGACACGTGCACGTGCACACACACACACACACACACACACACACACACACACACCTGACATGAGTTTAAGCCACTGGGTCTGGGACTCTTAACATTGGTTGACCATGTGAGAGTTCAGCATGTAACTATTTCGCCATCTGCTGGTCCCCAGTTAAATCTGTTCTTAACCAAACCATCACTATGTATATCACAAACAATATGTATTGTTATTTTTCATAACAAAAGATTATAAGGAAATATGTTTCCATGTTTAGTTTAATCAACTTGACAATTATCCCATGCTTAGTCTGTTAGGAGCCTCGCACATTGCAGATACCCAACTGACTTTGAGTAGGTTAGTTAAAGTCAGTCTCATAGGGAAGAAATGGCTTATAACTGATCTTTTTAAAAATGTATTATTTTTTAGTAGAAGATTGGCTTCTCTAAACTTTTTGCCTGTAACTTTCTTCACCTAAACCTTGATTTTGTGAAGACAACTCCTATGGCTGCATCTCTCTCACCCCTTTCCAACTCCTAAAACCTTCTTATTATATCTTCTAGTGTCCTTAAGTCATCAACAATGACATCATGATGATATAGTCAACCTTTTTGTTTTTTTCTTCTTGTTCTGAGTTGTTCTGGAAGTGTGATCCCTGGACCAGCTATATCAGCAGCATCTGGAAACTTTAGAAATGCAGACTATCAGACTTCAGGCTTATTAAATCAGAGACTCTGGGCACAGGTCAACAATCTATAGTTGATCAGTTTCTCCAGGTGGTTGCTATGCACACCAAAGTTTGAGATCCACTGTTCTAGCTGAACCCTGGCTCTCCCCTGCAGCCTCTCATTTAGTACTGGGTCTCTTGCAGGTTTTCTTAACCTTTCTAGTGCCATTTGGAGAACACTTTCCTTCCCTCCTCCCTAAAAACCCTCAACTTTAAATTTTTCATGATCATCACACACTACCCATAGTCATTTATCATCTCAGGTTCCCTCCTTTTATTCCCAGATTTTAGTCGTTGTCTCACTGTCACTCCCCAATTGACACTTGCTGGTCCTTGCCCTCTGCTAGTAATCTTTTTTTTTTTTTTTTAATTTTTATTTTTATTATCATTATAATCTTCTTTATATTACATTGGATTACATATAACTTTACATTGTATTACATTGTTTTTTCAAAAGGGAATGCCATGCACGTCAGTCAGTACAGAGACATTAATCTCCCCACTTCAACATTCCATATCTTTTCTGTTTTCCCCAATCATTATTTTTATTATTCTAATTATTTTTATAAAACAGTCAATTGCTATTTCTCGTTTTGCTTGTAAAAATACTTTGCCCATCATGAAATACTTCTCAGACCAATCCAGTTGAGAATACCATACATGTCCTCATCAACAGTTAATAAGCTCTATCTGTTTCTCACTAATGTCCTGTCTCTCTATTGTTCACTTGCTATCTTTCTCTATCCTCTTCTCTTCACTTACCCCATTCCACACTGTCCTATTCTCATTGAGTACCTTCACTGTGTTTATGTCCTCCGAATTTTTGCTCTCTATTATAGAGTGCGGATAGTCGGTATATATTGAGTGGATACATACAATATCTTTCTTTCATAGCCTGGCTTACTTCACTCAGCAATAGATCCTCCATATCTGACCATTTTCTATCAAATTCCAGGGTCTTGTTATTTTTTATGGCTGAGTAGTATTCCATAGAGTATATATACCACACTTTTCCAATCCATTCATCAGTTTGTGGACATTTAGGTTGGTTCCATGTCTTGGCAATTGTGAATAATGCTGCAATAAACATGGATGTGCAAGCACTTTTCTGACTGAGCGTTCTCCTGTCTTTTGGGTAAATACCCAGAAGTGGGATTGCTGGATCAAATGGTAGTTCTATTTGTAGATCTTTGAGGAACCTCCATATTGTTCTCCACAGTGGTTGAACTAGTTTACATCCCCACCAACAGTGTAGGAGGGTTCCCTTTTCACCACATCCCCGCCAACATTTATCACTTTTTATATTCTTAATCTTTGCCATTCTGACAGGGGTTAGGTGGTATCTCATTGTGGTTTTTATCTGCATTTCCCTTATGATGAGGGATGTTGAGCATTTCCTCATATGCTTTTTGGCTGTTCGTATGTCTTCCTTAGAGAGACTTTTGTTCAGCTCACTTTCCCATCTTTTAATCGGGTTAAAAAATATGGAACGCTTCACGAATTTGCGTGTTATCCTTGCACAGGGGCCATGCTAATCTTCTCTGTATCGTTCCAATTTTAGTATATGTGCTGCCGAAGCGAGCACCCCTCTGCTAGTAATCTTGATTAGCAGTGTCAGCCTCAGCATTCACGCCTTTGTCATTACCAGTAACAAAAACCCTTCTTCAGTCTCAGTTTCTAGCATCTTATCCTCTCATGCTTTCCTCTTTTTTTCTAGCTTACTCTTTGTAGACCCTTGACTGACAATCCTTAGACTTGTCCAGGACCCACAGTCCTTTGCGTGTGTTTCTACTCTTCATCACCTCACCTCTGCTTATTCTAAGTTTGCGGTAAATTACTATAATCACTCTCTTGCATACTCTCACAACTCACTCCTTGTTTCTTGTATTGCTTGACAAACTCAAATCCTTATTAAATCTGACTTCCTGCTCTGCATCCATGAAGCTGAATGTGGTTAGAGAAAGATGCATGACCATGATAACCAGTCTCCCTGGAAATTTGTGAGCATAAACACAAATGAGTCTTAATGCTGCCAAGGCGTTTTACTAAGTTCCCATGGCTCATTCACTTTCCCTGGGCAGTCCGCTGTTTTATATCTCCACTCTATTCACACCTCCAACCAACATCTGCTGGTTGCTGCTTTGTCACTAGGGTAACAAGCAGTCCAAGGGGACTGCAAACTGCCAGTGCCACACCTAGAGCATTGTTATTCACATGATCTGCTGTCCCCCCTGTTATTAAGGATGAATTATCTGAGCGGGGTCACTCTCTTACAATTCTTTCTCACTTCCCCAAGGGCATTGCTGTAGCAATCCTACTTTTTATCATGAATGTTCTGTCCCATCCTATAGAAATGATCAGCATACATGCTGGTTTTTCTGGAATATCAGTTGGAAGAGGACACTTGGTTTTTTCTTTAAGTTGTCTTCTCACATCTTTGGCCCATTTCGTTTTTTCTTAACATCATGAGCAATTGTCTGTGTCATTAGATGGATATACACTAATTCACTCTTTCTTTTTTTTAAAGGCTATATAGCATGCACTAGTATAGGTAGGTCATAATTTATCTAAATAATCTCCTGTTGATTATGTTAGTTACAGTCTTTTTCCATCATGAACAACACTGAAGTAAATACTCTGTTTTCTTTTTTTTTTCTTTTTTTTCGGAGAGATTTTTGCTATAGGGTGCTTGCGCTTACCAGAAAGACAGAGACAGAGAGACAGAAAGCGAGAAATCACCCCCTAGCGGGGATGGCCACATCACAATCCTTTCTCCTCCATTCTCTCGGGATCTTGAGCACGCACGCACATGCACTCTGCTTTGAGTTTAAGCCACCAGGTCCGGGACTTGAACTGTGGTCGACTACATGGAAGTCCAGTGACATAGCCATTACGCCAACTGCTGGTCTCAATACTCTGTTTTCATAGCCTTATGTAGCCCTTCCTTCCTTCCTTCCTTCCTTCCTTCCTTCCTTCCTTCCTTCCTTCCTTCCTTCTTTCCTTCCTTCCTTCCTTCTCTTTAATTACCATAAGGTCCATGC